TGGTTGATTACGTTACTGTTGATCATCTGTCCATCATCGTATAAAGCCCGCCCTGACAATTTGATTGGCCCGCCAGATATTGTGCTAGCATTGAGCAATGCCAGACCGAACTTCCCGACCTCAAACGTTGTGGGCGGGACTAAGTTCGGAATGGCACCCAGGCTAGTCCAGATGGGGCCACTAAAAATCTTGGGGTGACACACTGAAACTAAAAGCCATCATTTCAGGGGTTTGAATCTACTTTTGTGGTAAACCTGCCTGTAGAAAACTATAATAAACACTTAAGTAAACACCTAGTCAGATCATGTTTTATTCTGTGTGATTTTTAATATTACTAACGATCGAATCTGTATAGACAGAGCAGTTAACATTTTGAGTTAAACAGTATGCTTTCTTCTTATTCACTTTTTCTCCGTTGAAAGTCAGCTGAGCCGTAGTTTTCTGAGCATGCAAGAAAAGAAAGATGGGAAGGTGGGCTGCAGTGTTCTAGTGTTAACAGTGAAAAGAGTTTTTTTCCTCAGCAAGAACTTTTACTTTAATCAATATCTTGTTTACAACAATAAACAGTTTATAAAATTTTACAGTAAAAATTGCCTGGGTAAAAAGAGCATTTGCCTGAGGCATAATCCATACAACAAGCAAAAAATACTCTGAAATTAACATTGAAACCTTAAACAGCAAGTAAATAGCTTTTCTGCATAAACAGATAACTGTTTTGTCACGCATTAGAAAAACGACTTTATTCTCCTGTCAACACAAAATGGTAAAGTTGTCACGTTGGGTGGAGGTTTTGAGGACTCAAATGCAGTGAGGAGTAGGCACAGATGAGTTTGGATGGTATAATGAAAGTCCAAGGGAAACAGAAGCAAAAATAAAAAAATTACACCAATAAACATCATGAAAAATACTCGAGGGAAGCAAGAGACTAGGTGGCAACCACACAGCATCTACAACTCACAAGAAACCAGCACTGAATGAAGGCTCTGGTACTCTTTTAAGCTCAGCACTATGATTATAAAGATTACTTTAGGCTACCCAAGTCCTTCACAATGATCCACTATCGTACTGTAGAGATGCACAGCTTGCACGAACACACACACACAGGAACCCTGACAAATGTGCTGAAACTTACTTAATCAAAGTGCATGAAAACCTCTGACATGAGTGCAAAATATACCACCATGTGTGACAGTTGAAACAGAAAGACGTTGCACAATACATCTACGTATTAGTCAGTGCAGTTTAGCAGGGAGCTAGGCAACACACATGCAAACTGTTGCTACAATCATGCTAACTATGTTTAACAGCAACAACATACCTGAAAATGTATGAATCTTTACTCCAATGAGGAACAGACCTCAGCATCTCCGGCCATTTGGGCCGAGACGGATGGTGCCCACTTCAAGATCGCTCTTAAATTGTAATTTCATACTTCTTAACCACAAATTGCACAATCATAAAGTCACATGTGAGCTGGGAGGCCAGTGCGGTGGCCAGGGCGTTGTACGGGGTGGCCGCAGCCACCCCTGGCAACCCCCTAGTGGTGCCACTGCAAACAAATGATGGCATCTTAAGAACTGATCATGTTGAACTACTTGGCTACATAGCAGCAACACATGCATGAATAAAACCACAAGCTATGTCTATGAAAAGTTATGGATTTCTTTAAAAGATTCTGTATTGTTTGTGTGTTTCCTCAGCTTCAGTAGCAAAACATATTGTGCATCTGTGTGTTGACAGCAACAACAAGGAGAGGAAACTGTAACACTGGTGGTAACATCAATGCTAACCTAGGGTAATGCCGTCACACAGCATTGGGGGACAGAGGCCATGAATTACAGGGTCTGACCAGGAGATGGAGCTTCTCTTTAGATCCTAATGTCCACAAATCATGACAGAATATTTTAGGACAATTATTGATGTAGGCGACCAGTCAAGGACCAGCAGAAAGTTTCTAAGAAAATCTATGAAAAAACAACAAAACAGTCATGGATTTGCTGATAAGGTGTAGTGTTAATTAAATAGTGTGGGTGTTGAATTAACAGCAGTAAAATAACACTGCCATCGTAACTTATGATATATTTATGTTTTTAGGTTGGAGTTCTATATGGAAGAATTATCCTGCCATAATGCAAGAGCACATAATTTCAATTTGAGAAAAGAATTTCATCTTCTTGCACTCAAAACTTATAATGCTCACACTCCAAACATGCGCTCTCTCTCAAATATTTTCTCTTCTCTCTCAAATCTTTGTTTCTTCTCTCAGATTTAATCCTTCTTGCACAGATATTTTCTCCTCCTGCTTGCCTCCTTCTCTTCGCGCTCAAACCGCGCTCTGCCCGAGTCTCAGATACGCTCGCAAACCCGTAGGCTCTGCT